TTTTTTTTAAAAGGATTGGGGGGGAAAAAAAAAAAAAAAAAAAAAAAGAATGATTCACTTGGTAAAACTTTCTTTCAGTCGATGCTATGCACCCTACCACTCCACAAAACAGACCACCTTTAGAACTAGATAAACCAATACTCCAATCAGTTAATGTCCCCGGAGAAACTTATAGGTACATGTCAGGAATTGTTCATTGTTTCCTCTCATAATCTGTTCAAATTGTTTGAGATCAATAATTATGGAAAATACTCTAAGATGTATTCAACAATAAACTCAAACAATTTGTTTAATTCCATCGGGGCTCTTAATTAACTGCAAAACCTGTATTCCCGAACAGACTTTAAGGAGTAAATTATTTGGCAATATTCTTCACTAACTTCAATTTTGTTTTCTTTCATTCGGTTGCGACAAGCTAATATCTGGGTAACATCACTATCGTCCCTTTAAAATCAAACAAAAACCTACCCGACGATTGGCACCTAAGAAATGACAAACATACTAAAAAGAAAACAGCAAGTCATCAATGAATGAAAATCACTCTTTTTCTCCTTAAGCCCAGTACTATTTACGTAAGCTGTGGCTGGAAGCAATTTCTCCTCTTAGTTAATTTTTTTTTAAAGGTTGGAAAAATTTTAGCAGTCAAAAAGCAAAACTCAGGGCCAGCCCCGTGGCTCACTGGGGAGAGTGCGGCGCTGGTAGAGCTGAGGCCTGGGGTTTGGATCCTATATAGGGATGGCCGGTGCGCTCACTGGCTGAGCGTTGTGCAGACGACACCGTGGCAAGGGTTGCGATCCCCTTACCCGTCAAACAACAACAACAACAACAAAAAAACACGCAAAACTCAACGCACACGTGCTCCTCACCCCAAACCTGCCTTGACCCAGGGCAGGTGAAACAATGACCATCCCTCCCGCCCCCCCTTTTTAATTCGTGAAACAAAACGGCGGGCAGGCCGAGCTGAAGCGCACCCTCGCCCCAGCCCAGCCTGCTGTACCGTACAT